ACCATATCGTCAGCTAGAATGCTGGCATATTGGTTTTCATACAAGAGATACAACCAGTTAAGCCCATACAGCTGGAAAGGCTTCATCGTGCAGCCGCTCATAAGCTTCGGCTGACTTAAAGGAAGGTCGACCAGCGTAGTCGTACCGTCAATGCTGAGAGGCGTAATGGTTCCATCCTTGTTCTTCACTGTTCGAGGCTGGCCGGTTTGGTCGACCTTCCACCTCGAGGTGGCGTCCTTGATCGCAGCTGCTTGCGACTCGCAGACAGCAATAACATGGTCAATGCCATCCAACGCTTTGGTGTACTCCTTAATAGAGCCCACGATATCTTCGCCAACCGGTGCCCTAGTCGACTTCTTGCGCTTGACCTTCGTAGCCTTTGCTGCCATCGTCACTCTCTCAGCATCAGCCACACTGTCGAAAGGCTGATAAGAGAGCATGTGCTTTGCAACATCTTCTTTGACGTTGGCAATGGCCATCAATTGTATCGGATCGCAGGTATTGAGGTACTTAAGGACACGCTCTTCGAAGGCATCTTCTTCCGGATCCCGTTGCGAAAGTTCGGGCTGTGGTTCGGGGGAGCGAACCGACTTCTTCTGGACGTAGTCATCGTCATCTTCGTCGTCGCTAACGAGCGTGATGATTTTTGTCTGTTTCAGTTTGGGAACGGGCTTCTCGATCGGTTTCGCTGGCGAGCTGGCTGGCGACGGGCTACGTCGCCGACGACCCTGAATTAGGCGACGGCGAGCCGGTGCGGGCGGTGCTGGGGCAGGCTTTAAAGGAGAGTCTTTCGGACGTATAGATTGCAAGGATTCTGGCGAAGAAGATCGGAGCGTGACCCAGTCCTCTTGAAGGACGTAGGGCTTTGCCGGGCTGGTAATGGGACTTCCGACATCATTGGACAACTTTGGTTTCTGTCAAATATGCCAAGTGTTAGTATGACGCTGGATGTGATGTCTATCATGAATTGTGCAGGTCAAGTACCTTTGATGGTTTGAGGTACACTGCAGGCGCAGCCTTTGCAGACGTGAGGTTGGGCTTTTTGAAAGCAGATGGCTGAATGTCGCCGCGCGCAGGTCCTTCATCGTCTGAAGAATCGCCCGCATATAGAGGCTTGTCGAATTCATCGTCGTCGATCATTATATAGTCTCTCTTTGCCCCTGCTTTGACTGGAGGTGATTGTGCGGCAGGAGCCTTGAAAGAGGTACCTCTTGGGGCCATCGCGCTCGCAAATCGACCTCCGATATTCGACGATTGTTGACGGAAAGGTGACGATGCAGGTACTTCGACGACCGTGGGGGAAGACGGGATGGCGGCTTCTCGTGGCTTCACTGTCGGTTGCGAGGCGATCTGGGTAGGCTGAGTAAAGTAGGGCGATTGGGAGACAATACTGAGTTCATCCTCGTCGTCTTCGTCTATAAAATCAAGATCGGGCTTGGTCCGCCGTTGCGGGACTGGGCTATCGACGACAACGCTTGATGAGCGTAAAGAGTCGTCCTCTGGCAAGGACGAGAAGGCCATTGTCGATCGTCCAGAGCAGGATCGACCAAGTAAAAGAACACAAAGTAGTCTTCCAAGGAGGTGGTGGTGAAGGAGAAATGGTTGTTGTGGAGGTAAGTATCGAAAGAGTATGTGGAAGGTACCGGTCGTTTGTCGGACGCGGTCAAAGGCGCAAAGCTGAAATTTTAGCGGCGCATAGAGCCAAAGCAAAACCTGATAAAGACGAACAAGAGAAACGTTCGCTGAAAGGAAGAATTTCAGTTGACCCAAAAATCCAGGTCCAAAGTACCCTGTTTCCTTGACGCTTTGCCCTTGGGAAACCTGTGATGTAAAAAGACGGGATGACAACCGAGAGGAGTTGTGCTTGGAGTTTGTTGTCGGTCCATCTTAGAACAGAAAATGGCTGGGTACACGGCATCCAGTCGTGCAACCGGCTCCAGATTGCCGTCCAGCAATCAGCGACGGAATCAGCCCTACATCTTTCTCATTTGGAGCCCCACACCGCCGCCTTCCAGCCGCGACGCGCATTTGCTCGTTGTGAGAAATAATGTGGGACAACGCGACCGGCCGCCTTCACGTCTCCACGTGCTAGCTCTCAACTGGTTCAGGCACAGCGACGAACCACTTAAATACCGATGAGGACAGGGTAGACCCACCCAGCCAACCAGCGACCTACGCAATTGCCCAAAGTCGAGCTTGTCCTCATCTTGCCATCGAGGACTTCACCTAGAGAACTACCCTTGATTTTACTCAACATCTCACTGTTACCATTTACTTGAGTAAGCTACTATACCTTAATGTGTTCCTTTTGCTTGCCAGTCTAGGTTCATCTTAAGAGACTTACCAACACAGCAAACAGCTTCAGCTCATCCCACTTCAGCTCATCATTCAACTCATCGAAGCCGATATAAGACGACAAACATCACGACCAGCCTACACCGAACAGAAAAACTGGACCCAAAACCATCAGCAATATGGCCACCCGCAGAATCATATCCCAAGAGAAGACTCTCCTCGAAAAGGATGACCGTATCGGTTCCAGTCCAGCGGCAAGCGAGAAGTCCAACATCACGCCAGCCGTCCCCGCGTACGCTTCACCCCAACCCCCGTGCTCATTCTCATCCGTCACATCACCGGTTACTCTTCCTTCCATTCTCATCACTATCATACACCTACATATTCCGCCCATACCCTGCCTGATGATCCCACTTTCACACAATACATATATGTATCCAAGATATGATCACCAAGCTAACCCCCAACCCCTCCACAGTTCCGTAATTATCAAACTTCTAGCCTTCACCTTCGCAATGATCGTCATCCCCATTTCTTCTTACTTCCTCACAGTAGACCGTTTGTTCAAAGGTTCGTCCAGTCGTCCCCCCCTGCTGCTCCTGTCCCTGCTCCCCAATTCCCTATTTCCTATCCCCCATATGCCACATGGTCCTTCGTTCCTTCGTGCGCATCGCATGAACCGGACTCACTCAGCAAACTAACGTTCACTGATCGAACCACCAGGAAACTCAACATACGCCGGCGCCACAGCAGCTATTATGGCCAATGTGGTATTAATTGGGTATATCATTGTTGCCATGGCGGAGGATCAGTCGGACCAGGAGAATGAGAAGAAAGGAGGTGGTGGGAAAGTAGAAAGGAAGAAGGATCTGTAATTTTACTTGAGATGTGACATGAATGTTGTGACATTGCCCGCCCTAATGAACGGAAAGGGTGTGGGGAAGAACAAAAGTATTCATTTGTGTACCCAAACATCTTATTTCCATTGAAACGACGAGTGAAATGTTCTTCGCGTGATCAAGTGCATCGGAGCTTGTCGGAATTCGTGTAACAAGCCTAACGTCTTATCTGAGAGCGGAAAGATGGGTGCGTAAACGTCCATGGAAAACCACAATCACGACATATAGTAAAACGATCTCTAAAAGTGCAACAATCCAGCTGACAAAATCACTTGCACTTTCTAGGTGTTTGCACTTAGGAAAGCTAGTACACAGATCAAAAAGCGCCCTCCGGTCATTGGAGGGTGACTAAAAGTGGGTCGTATGAGCTTTGGTAACTGGGTATAAGTGTACTCTTCACCAAAACAGGACCCTTGTAGGTGTAAATCTAGAGTCTACACTTTGTCAACTACTACTTCTACACACTTATTTATAAAGGGATTAATGCTACAAAATGTAGCAGTTTTAGAAAATGGAGCATATATATAGCAGAATTAGCTACATATGAGGAATTAGTCTAATGGGATGCTCTTAACTTTAGCAACTGCCTTTAGCTAATCTTCTACAAGTAGAGTACTATATTAACTTGATTCACTAGGTTTTAGGTTCTCTAGAAATCAAGCATAATTTGTAACTTAGTACTGTACAAATATGTGCCTCTTATACTCAGGAAAAAAAGTTTGGGGGAGGGGGGGGAGGGAGGGAGATAGTTTGAGAGCCCAAAAGAGGTTTAGTTGTACACTCGATTCTTCCAATGTCCTACCTTTTCCTACTTACCTACCTATCTCTTCAAGGGCGCTGGAGGGTGGAGACATCGAAAATCACTGTCTTGCATACGATTTCTAGGAGGCATGAATGTGTTGCAGTATGCTTCCAGATTATGCCTAATATCCAGGGAACCTAAAACCCAGTGCTCCAAGTCAATACGGTACATGCGGTAGTTTGCAAGGTTCGTACAAGGAATCAAGTTTAGTTGGCACATAGTTTGCACTCTGAAGGGGTTCTTGCACTTGGGGGTGGTTGGACTTTTAGGGATCTTTACTGTATTTAACAACTTCACAGTAATGGGCAATGACATATCAAATCATTCGTTCAATCAAACAAGCATTAATCTATTCGCTGATACGTGGCCCACGTATATACTCCATCTCGTGAAGATATCGTCACAGAAACAGTAAAGAGCAGGTGCAGATCTCCTGCAAGGGTGTGTCTGAATGACGAGGTCTTCCATCCGCTCTCCAGATCAATGCGTTTTCCCTTCACCCTCATTCGGTGATTTCTAGCCGCTGTGATCCTGTTTCACGTTGAACACAAAAGAGATCCTTTGACTCATCCCTCATCGCACACATTGCGCCCATCATCCCTAACAATACCTTGATCCTTGCGTAGTTATAGCTTTCCATCTCGATTGCAATCCATTCCCACATTATCATTACAACATTATCTGAATCCTTCATGGAACATCGGCGTTTCATGACCACTTCATGTCCGAAGATAACTTCCCACAAACCTCAGTCTTTAACAAGAAATTCTGTCATAATGATACCTCCACTACACCTCTCAATGATTGGGAATGTTCGTCCGACTGCCTCCGGACGCTCATCAGACGTTCCCTGGATGGCATGTAGGCGAAGGCGTGGGTATCCATCGTAAAAGAAAGCGAGGAAAAAAGTGGCAAGGTCCAGCAAGCAAGTCTTCATCAATGTCATATCATAGTCGGATAAATGACAAAATCGTGATCCGAACTTCCAGTCTCAGTAGACCAGCCTACCTCTTCAGCTTGCGCGAAAACCAACTCTTGCGCTTCTCTGGGGCGCCCGGCCTTTCTGGTTGAATGGTATCGTTCGTCGACTTTTTCTGTAGTGTCCGGATGTCTTTCTGGGGCGGAGCAGGCGCTGTGACTGGTGCAACGCTGGGGCTTCCCTGACTGAAGTTGTTGAGGTTGTTGTTGGCGAAGCCAGACGTACCGTTCGCTTGGTAGTTGTTTACTCCACCGCTGTTCATGCCCGTAGCAGGTTTCCCGTTGTAGCCAACTGTGAAAGCTGATGGTGAATATTCGGTGTTCTGGCTGAATCCTATTCCATAATCATTTGCTGGTTCTGACGGTCGCTTGGAAACTGGTCCCGCTTGAGCTCGTTCAATCGAGCTGTTGTCACTACTTGTCGGATCAGTCTGATACCCCAATGGATCACTTCCAGATGCCGAGGCAACGGTCTCGTACGAGCGATGGTTACTCGGGATCGGGTAGTCGTTCGCGCTCGGCGATTGATACGGCGAAGAGAATTGCGGGTTAGGCATGATCCTGGGATCACGACGTCTGCCTTGACTCTGAGGCGGGGAGGAATACCCGCTGTTGTATCCTGACTGGTAATCGTAGTAAGTGTCTCGTGGTGCTTGCCTCAGGTCATGTTGGCTGCCGTCCTGACGGTTCGGATACATTGCCGAAGCTGGTCGGCTGTTGTAGTAACCGGGGCCATCTAATTCGGTTAGCATTCCCGTCTTCCATGTCTTAATGAGGGGGTATAAAGTTGGTCGTACTTGTGCCATAATAACTGTTTCGTCTGCCGTTATTGCCCCAGGTTGACTCCGAGTCTATAAACGAAGTTAGTTTCAGGCTGAATCGCAACAACCCGTGAAAAGCTGGTACATACCTGAGCGGTAAATGGACCTACGATTGCTGTAAGCTCCATCAATGGCGGCCTCGAAGCTCCGAATGGTATCGAGAGGGCGCTCCCAACGACTGCGGGTGGGATTTGAGCGATCGGGGTCGGCTACACGAGAAGTCAGTATCGAGCCTAAGTGATGAGACTTGTCTCTTAGCGCGTCCACAAGAGAACTTACCGATTGGATTTCCAAAGACATCCTTGTGCTGCACATTCCGCAAAGAAGCGAGCGATGACTTAACGTGCGCGGCCACCTCGGCTGGTAGAGGTCAATATGGAGTTCACCGCACGCAGGACACAATAAAGGTGGCGGATCATGCATATCAATGCATGACACATGGTTGAACTTACATGGCTCTGCCTCGTTCATGGCCAAGGTAGGGTCGGCTTTTGTATGTAACCGTTTGGCGTCCTTCTCGGCACTGGTCTCGTGCAAGTCAAGCTTTTGCTCTTTGGCGTCGTGAGACTTGTCCGATCTGAAGCTGAAGGCTCTCGACTTGCGTTGGGAACTCGGTGGGCGGCCCTTTGTCTGAGTGGTAGGAGCGACGGGCGCTTGTGACTGCTGGTGCTGTTGTCCCTGCAGTTGTGCCTGCTGGACTTGATGCGGATTTGAGTTCGGGGGGTATCTGTTGGAAGTCACCATCTTGGCTGACCGGGAAACGCGAGAGTTTTGATCTGTATTCTAGGCAAAGCCCGGGGGTGCAGCGAGAGCGGTGGGGGGGGAGGGTCCGTGATGAGCCTGGGGTATCGAGACCCTGTCGATGGTGCAGATGGAGACAAGACCGTGATGGTTTCTGATCGCGCGCAGGTTCGGACGGATCAGATGCCTGCTTATCGCAAGGGTCTTTTTTTAAAAACAGATGCTTTTCGGCAACAATAGCCGGGCCAAGAGCTAGGTATCCAAAGTGGTATTCGCGCGGGCAAATATGGGAGAAGCAGCGACGAAATGTTCAGATAGCGTCCAAAGAGCGGTTAATGTGGACTAGAGAGTGGGCCGGCGTGGGTATTTACCCCTGGTAGTTGCCCTGAGTGTTTTGTCTTGGGTTGGCGGGCTGCGTTCCGCGATCTTATTGTCGCAGACTCTAGAAAATCAGGGAAAGTGTGTCCTTGCACCCCGGGTGGCTGGGGTGAAAGCGGATGTCGTTCGTGGTTCGCTGGAAAATCGGACAAATCGTCGGCCACGACGCAGAAGGTACCAGCAAAGCAAGCCCGCTAACCAAGACTCAGCGCTTGCGTTTCTTTTATGGGTTTTCTGCGACGGTCGGCTCCGCTGTAAGTGCGTCGGTGGCGCGCGGCGTGTCAGATGCCAAACCTTTTAACTGCCAAAATGCTAAAGCGACGGCAATCGCCAATGTCCAAATGCCCAGATAGTATCGTGAGTGTTCTGGCTTCAGCTCCCTGGTTTGATTAGCCGATTTAGTATCTGAAGGCGCGGCGATCCAAGACGATCCGTAGCGAGTTCTCTCCACTCCGAGACGCAGAGAAACAACCGACAGGCTCAGTTGTGGGGGAGCGACGGACAAGCCTGGGACTGGGGGTTCAGGTTTTTGGTGAGGTGGTGTTCGGAATAGCAGGGCTGCGACGTTCGATGGTGGAGTTTGGCGCTGACGTCAGGACCAAATGATCCACAACTGAACAGGCTATTGACGTTGATTGGCAGCAATGATTGACAAGAAATCTTCCCCAGCTACTAACTCTGCGGCTGTAGTCTCAAAAATTTGTTTCGTCTGATACTGTTTTAAAATCCGATCTGATGCCTGGGGCGTGCCGATATCAATTGTTGGTGCGAGAATTCTTCTTATTGGGGTTGATGAAGAACTGACGTCGACCAGATGCGAAGTTGGTGTTAGCGGAAGGGATTCCCCCAGAGCTCGATAGTTATCGAAGGAGCGGGAGCGGCAGATAATAAGGCGAATTGACCTCGCTCGACGCATGAGGAAGTAAAGAAATCGGGTCTTGCACAAGGGAGGGGGGAGGGGCGCTGCTTAATACGACAACAAGGGGTGACTAACCCTCTTTCAGCGATCCCGGTCAGCGGTCCCATGCAGCAGAAAAGTTGCGTGAACCGGACCAGGGAAAAGTTCGATACTTGCAAATGGGAATGTGAAAACGCCGGAGAACCCGCAGCATCGACAAAGAGGAATGCCAGTTAAAAGAGACCAAACAAGCCAGAAACGAAAGACAATATGGGAATGCTTAAAACGGGGTTTATTGTTCAGAAAACGCAGATACAAACCGCTGCATCCAAAAGTTTCTGAAGTTAGGGAAAAAGTGGGTCGAAGATCGCGAGGGTTTCACGGCTGGATGAATGATTCGACCCCGGATGTGATGAGGAGATGGACAGGGAGCGACAAGGGCCGACAAGGAGGCCGCGTGGTGTGCGAGGTGCTTCGTGGAGCCACCATTGATTCGCAAGTGGAACTCGAACTTATACCAGCTCGTCGGATTCCCGTCGCGCCGCTCGACGCCAATGGAATGAAGCACAACGGGATTGATACAGTCTTTTGTTTATGCATTCGGTGTTTCCTACCTGGAGGTCGGGTACATGCTGGCAAGTCTTTGACACTCGACAAGCGACAACGGCAAGCACGGAGCCGGCAAAAGGCATCAATCTCAACTCGGACGTTTATCGCGGCCCACGATAATATCTCTGGAACTGACACACGCGACCGTTGCACAGGCCTTGCTGCTACCCATTACATCGCGATGATTTGTCTGGATCTCGATAGTATTGTATTTAGTGACTTCGCGTTGCGCGAGTAATACTTGAAACCTCGAGACCCGAATCGGCAGTTTGCCCGCAAATGGTCCCCGCTACTTGCTGCGCCCACTGATGAACACGAGATGGCGAAAGATGCCGCGTCACCTCTAGATGATCCTATCCTTAACCATCAAGTTTTTTTCTACTAAGCACACAGCCCACGACCACACGCTTCTCCACACATGTTACACGTCTTTGAATTTTGAGTGCATGGCAGGATAACGACCGATCCCGAACCGTGTCCCATTAGAAATCTGATGTTTCGTTGATGACCACCATCCCAACATTTACCCTTCAGGTTGCCCATGTTGCCCGCAATTTGTGCATCTCGATTTGGTAGTGTAAGAGTTCTATTACATGCGTCTGTACCTGAATTAGGAACCAGACGTACCCACAGAATGTCGCTACCCACGCCTTGGTGAATACGAGCTTGTTGACCTGCAGCGTAGTAGATCAGAATGCCGATATCAAAAGACACCACCACTCCCGGAGAACTCTTCCTGGTTAGACACAGAAAGATAGGCGGTCATTGAGGTAGTTGATAAAATCACCGTGACGATTGTGTCTATCAAATTTGGTTCCTACTTCCCATCGCGCAATTTTGCATATTGGAGAATCTCCTTGTCTTGCACTGCCCCAATCTGAGAAGCAACGCCTCAAGTTTCGAACTGGTTTGTCCCTTGTCCCACGCAAGCCATGATCACCACTCGCCTTTACGTTGTACGTAGAGCCCGTTGTGGATGATTTTTTGGCTTATTAACTGAAGCCGCGACGCGTCACGCCAACAACCTACCCTGAGTTCAGTTACAAATCCATGGTTTCGGTAGTCTCATTTTACTCAGCCACCTACGATGATGGCCCTTGCGTTTCTGTTTCTACGGGTCCAGATCAGTGCGACATCGATTTTGATCAATCCCACCATATTTACCCCACGCACCCACCAATCGTGATGTCAAAACCATTCAAGCCCACAGCATCCATCTGTGGCGGGAAGGAGATTGGGGCTGCGTCTGCTGTCATGAGAGACTACATACTAGGTTTCGGTCTTGTCCTGTCGCCGGTTTTTGTACACTACATTTCAAGCATCCTGCGAGTCTGTACTGTATTACAACCACTCGTCACAATCTCGAGAGAACCCTGGAACTTGGCTAGTCATATACTTTGTTTTATCTCTAATCCCCATGCATTCAGCAGGACAAGCATCGACAAGCATCGTTCAAACGATAAGACAGACCACAGTTGGGTCCCAACCGGCCGGCTCCTGCCCCCGGCCGTTCGAAGCTCTCACCCCACTTTCTCTGAATTGGATTGGTCAGCTCTCATTGGGTGAGTCGGCAACAGCGACTTTGAACGGGGAGACTTTAGCGCGTTCACGATAATCGATAAGGCTGACTAAGTAGTGTATTTTTAGGTCGCGGTAGGTACCTAGGTATTCGCTGGATAAGGGGTGATTGTTTACTTTCTTATCTGGCGACTATCTATCGTCTTTGAGGTGACGTTCGAATAGTCTCTTTTCTCTGTTGGGTTGTTGCGATACCCGACACTATACTTACCTAAGATTGGGGTTCCTACATCTGCTTCTTACACAACGAAAACAGAAATAGAACATATCCTCCAAGCTTCCTTGGGTCATTTATCTGACGCCGACAACGGGCATGGTAGCTTAGTGTATAATTCGGGGTTATCACTTCCACCTGGGCTATGGCATTTCGAATTGGTACGGCACATGTCCTGACCCTAATAAACCTCTTCTGAACATATCCCTTGCGGAATTCCGTTCTCACCAAAAGCTGTAATCCATTCCTACAGTTAAGTTGCAATCTCAAGCGCCCGAACGGGAGACGAGGGTGAGTGGTAATGAAAGTAAGCGCAGCGGGTGTTGAAACATGGCGCGGCTCAAAGATCCACTGCCTTGACGGATGATCCCTAAAAGGAACCCTACCCAGGCCTAAGTATCCAACCTCCGTTCCCCGCTGTCCGATTTAACAGTTTAACGCTTTAACCAAGTCCGAGCAACGTGAATATCACAAGTGCTGCTTCCCAAGACAACACATCTCAGACTGAAACGCGCATCCGGTCTTTACGAATCGCAATCGGCCAATTATGGACTACACCTCGCCGGCCGAACCGAATGCACGTCACAAATAGGTCATCCCCAACATGGATATATTGGTCGGGACAGGTATCGATGCAGACGCTCCTTAGGTCTATGGAAGTAAATTGGCTGTTGTTCATTTGGCTGGCCCAGCATCGTTCCTACACCCTCCCCCGCGTGGCTGAAAGGGTCGTTGCCTTCAACGGCCGAGTTGGTACCATCGTATGCCATTCCCCAGGCCATTTCCATGTTCACCAAGCGCGCGCCCCCCCTACCCCCCTCCCCATGCGGTTTGTTTACAGTTTATCTTAAGGTATCTTTTGAAAAAGGCATGACGTTCGTGTGGACATGTGCCATGCCGAATATTGAATCTCGTGGTCCCGTCTCGAGAACAGGGCGCTTGTAAGCCGGCGTGACCTGTGTATCTTGTCAACTCCTTTATTCAAATCTTTCTCTGATTTGATGATGTGGTCCCGGGTGCTGGATCCGACTTGAATGGGATGGATCGTGGAATACGGCGAGTTGCCTGTGGCCATACAATATCATACCCAAAATCTCTCCCGGGATAATAGAGATCAACCAGGCCAGTAGTCAATGCATCTGGCATCTGCTGCACTCTTCCCTGAAATCCCAACCGTCTGTCTTGACTCAGGCTTGTCAAGCTCGGCTCTTGTCTGAGAAGGCGGATAGTAATGTTGCCTGATCCATGTTCACGAAGCCATGTCCAACACATTCCTGAACCTGTGGGACATCTCGAATTCGAAAGGCCTGGTCGAACAAGGAGACCGAGTCGATGTCCAAAGACAGACGGTAAAGCCACCGTCTGGAGTCTTTGAGGTCAAGACCTAGGAGATCACCATTAGTATAACATATCTCCTCTGGACTGGGAGTGTTGGCCTTGCTGGTGTATGGGCATGCAGATTGCCGATTTGAAATGAGATACTTCATTTCGAAACCGACTGGCACGGACACACAAACATGGAGGAGTTGAACCAAGAGCCATCAAGGTTCTCACGAAACGGGGTATGATGTCGTGGGCCGCACACTTGTCATAAATCCTAGGAAGAGCGTTAACCAAAGCTACAGCATTCAAGGATCGGTCGATGGTCTTGGGTAGCAAAGCGTGGCTATTGTGATTGAGAGGACCTGTTAAATTTTAGCCCAGGCTGGCTTTGATTGATTTGTGACATAGGAAGACTCTCGTCTCCTCCCCATTGCGCCGTTTCATGAACCACTCCCGTTGATGAAGCATTCGTCTCCCACCCAGCACTTAACTGCGGGATCCTCAATCGCAATTGTTTGGCATGTCTTTTTTTGGTAATGCCTTTGATTTTGAATGCTAGAAGCAAGGCCCGTTTGCCGACCCTTGCTAATCCCTGATGCACCGAAATCATAAACCACCTTTACCACTCAACTCCGGCCTGACCCATCCCCTTTAGATAGACGAGGGGTAGAGCATAATGCGGACGGAGGCACCGAAGGACCTGGAGGGGAGGGGAGCAGCGAACTTGGCGCGGACAACGCCGGAGTTGCCTATAAATCCAAGGTCAACATTCAACGTTCTAGCCAGAACCTCGGAGAATGGGGATAGTTACCGTGAGGCCTGGTGACCTTGCCCCAGATCACGCGGATCTTGGTGCCGCGAACTTCCTTCTGGCCGCGGTAGACATAGGCGACGCGCTTGCCGAGGTAGAAGCTGTATCCCCAGTCAATATCCATCACCGTGTGGTTCGGAATAAGTTAACCACGTACTTGGCAGCAGCAGTGTCATCAACACCCTCGATCTTGATCAAGCTGGTCTTGGGGTGGGTGGTGTGACGGCCACGCTGATAGCTCAGGTGGCGACCCCTAATGCGATTCCTCTCGTCAGTCCTTGCTCGGTACGTCGTATTCTCTGGTCTCGTTTCCGAAATGACCAGGTTCCTAGCAACTATCGTCTTCGGGGTATCGTTTCGTAGCGGCGCAACAATCGCAGACTCGTTCGCATCGTCGATTCATTCCGAGGGTGACTACTCACTTGACATATACTGCAAAAAACAGGGTCAGCAATGTACAAACATGCAAGAGAGGCACATAAAACCATGTACACGGGTTTCGCGACGCCGATAATCTCGAGGCGACGACGACAACACCGGCAATGTTCTTTGCGCAAGTGGTTTGGGAGTCTCACATCTGTGGCCGGCTTCGGTAGGCATCTTGACTGGCGATATGTTCCGCTTGATCAAAATTTCCCTGCCACGATAAAAGGGAACTCAGCAAGGAGTCTTGTATGAAGACAATTGCTGATCCGGAGTCCTGCGTTGGGCGACGTGGTTGTGGCTCTGCACTTCGACGGCTCCTGGTAATTCGAAAATTGCCTGGTGGGAATTTGGTAGGGTTTGTGGTACTTTGGACGGTTCGGAGTTTCTCGCCTTCCGAAAAATGTGCGCCGCGCGAATGAGAGCCCAGGAGCGCGTCATCCCAGCAGGGTAAGATGTGGCTGAGGTCCGTGCCAAGCCACATTATCTGACCCCTGAGGTAGACCTTCACTTGTGCATGTTCCGATAACGCATGGACACCCATCGGTCCTTATCTGTATTGTTATCTTAGTAGCTCCTCCGCAATCCATGATGCAATCGATGGTTTTTTTGTCTTTTGGTTTGCCCCTCTTTGTCATCGTGGGCTCCCAAGACCTGACCTCGCAAGCTCCCGAACCTCAATTGACTGTGTCCCCCACAACCATACTCGACTTCAACCTCCAAGACCTCGAGATCAGATCAGGAATGCTGCCGGCATCAGGCTGCAACACAAAAAAATAGTACAGTGATCATCGATTCTCCGATGGCCTCCGTCTTTGTTACCAATACTCGTAGAGTTTTCGCTTTCTCTTGATGCCGGGGAGAGCAGGCTTCGCCTGCCTGCAAGATATATGTATATAGTAAGCTCAAACAAATGGTGTTTTCGCAGCTTAGTAAACCGGGGCGTGTACACTCCACTCGGCGTGTGCCATTCTTAAACCCGAAGCTGCAGATGACTTTCTGCTCTGACACGGCGCCTTTCAAGAGCGCGCGTGGCGTAAGACCGGAGGTTGGCCTCTTGGAAGTCAAAGCAAATTATCCTGTAATTTGGCAATTTTCGTCTCGGCGAACCGCAACCTACTTAAGTGCTGGCAGATTTCTCTTCTTCACACCGGTAAAGAGAACCTTTCACTGTAGTTGCCTCGTCCATGCTTCCCGGGCAGACTCTGGATGGTTTGTTGGACGTACCTGTTCTAGTTGACCCGGCGGCATTTCAGTTTCCAGGACGGAAAAATTCAATTCCAAGTTGGCTTCTCCAACGATGCCATCTAACTGTGAACGGATATCGGAACAATAATCTGCAGGAGCAAAGCGAAAAATTTAGCCCATGCAACATAATAATCCGGTGGTTGCGGTATATTTACCCCCGACCGACCCTGAGAACGGCACGGGTTGTCCAAAGTCGGTATACAGGATCACGGTTGACAAATACACTTGGTTGAGCTATGGAGCCATCCGTACCTCTACGGTCCCAAACACGGATTCAATTCACCTTTCCGCACCCCCCCACCATTCCCAACAGAAGCACAACTTGAAGGGATCCATTCATGCAGTTTGAACTGCTTGGAGCTCCGAACACAACAGGCACTCGTCTAGTTAACATGAACTGCACTTTTGAGACTCGAAACCGTTTACTCGCTGTATTCAGACTTTGAGGTCTGAAACCATCACCTACCGAGGACCATATTAGCTCAGGTAGCTTATTATGACCGTACCCACTCGTTCTACTGCGCATACTGTCAAAAATTGTCCAGGGGCAACCCTGTTACGGCGCAAGATCGGAGTGTAGTGTAAGCTGTCACTGTCTGGACTCCTTTCTACACTACCGGCGGGAGTCATCTGGTCGAAGTCGAGGAACCATTTGACGGCACGCGCTTCGGATCCATACCCTGGCTTTCGGTTCCATTGCTCGAGGCTACGGAGACGATGGCTTCCATCACCAGGGTTCGAATGATGTTAAGACATCTATCAGCCGAAGATCGGTGGAACCATGACATCTATAAGGCAAGCACGGGACGGGACCGATGTCCAGCTTTGCGAGACCAACACCCAACATCTCATGTCTCGAACCCAGCCAAACCGACAATGAGCCAACCTCCACAGCTCCCGTCCTGGAACACAGAGTGGATGTAAGCATGCAGGGTATCACTGAATCTGACAGGGGAGAAGCCAATCTGGCAGCCCTTTTGTTTGATGCGATCAATTCGGAGGAGGAATATGGCGTCTATCATGCATTAGGTAACATGAACGGGAGACAAGTTCCGTCCGGAAAGGCCGGCGGGGTTGGGGGTTGTTTAAAAGAAGCAAAAGCTCTCTTGTTAGAGCAGTTATCAGATGGGGCCTAAGCTTTGGAGGCGGCTTGGCACCGTTCACTCGGTCGTTCCCCTTCATGAGGTATGTACCTCTAAGTGGTGCCAGGGTATGCACTTACCTCTAGCGCGCGGTGCGGGGCCGTGAGTAAGCTTGCCCCTCGTGGGCCGTGGCCCATCAACTGGACTGACTGCGGCAACATCAGCTTCAGTTTGAGGGTTGCAGGCAGTCTGCGCATCATTCGCTCCCAGGTGCCCTGGACCGGCCAGGTTCTAGGTTGAGGGAGGTTCACCCAAATACCCGCACGCCGTAGAATTCCCATTCACTTTTAACCCCGAAACCTTGACCAAGCCTGCCCACTCTGTGCCAATACTTTCTTCAACCCCCATCAGCCAAAAACGCAATCCTCTTCTTCCACTTTTCTCGTCGTCCTCACAGTCTCCTTTTCCCTCGCTCAACCACCAACGCGACGAACTTGGAATATCGATTCACACTAGACGACCGCTACAATGGCATCTGATCACCATGGAGCGTGAGTGCCCCTCACCCCGCCAATATCAGACATTGCGTGGTGGAGCTCAACAGCTTTTGGGGTTCGTTCGCATGACTCTGTGCGAATCAACCTTTTGGGCATATTTGCCCGCCTGCGATTTCTATTTAAACGAGCCCCGCGAAGAGCTTTCATCAGGAGGGCCTTCGCTCTATGTTTGGTGGTTGGTGATTTGGAAGTGCTTGCTAACAAAAATGGCGTTGCAGTGCGGTAGAGCTCAAGGACAACACCGTCATCGTTGTCCTTGGCGCCTCTGGCGATCTCGCTAAGAAGAAGACCGTGAGTCCCTGCTTACCATTGGGCTACTTCATAAGGCAATCGGCTGACGTGCAACTAGTATCCCGCGCTCTTCGGACTGGTGTGTATGCCCTCTTCTCGGTTGCCTCCGATTGAGGAGCTAATGTTATCGCTGTAGTACCGCAACCAATTTTTGCCCAAGGACATCCGGATTGTGGGCTATGCCAGAACTAAAATGGACCACGACGAGTACATCCGCCGCATCAAGTCGTATATCAAGACTCCGACGAAGGAAAGCGAGCAGCAGCTTGAGGAGTTCTGCTCCATCTGTACATACGTTTCCGGCCAGTATGATCGTGACGACTCCTTTCTGCAGCTCAACAAGCATTTGGAGGAACTGGAGCAAGGAAGGAAAGAGAACAACCGACTCTTCTACATGGCTCTGCCTCCCAGCGTTTTCACCATTGTTTCACAGCATCTCAAGAAGTGCTGCTACCCCTCCAGGGGCGTTGCCCGTGTTATTGTAAGTCACTAATCGTATCCGTTGTACCTCAGCCCTTGTCTAACACTGCAACAATAGGTCGAGAAACCCTTTGGCAAGGACTTGGCAAGCTCTCGAGAACTGCAGAAGTCTCTTGAGCCCGACTGGAAGGAAGAGGAGATCTTCCGTATCGACCATTATCTAGGCAAGGAGATGGTGAAGAACATTCTCATTCTGCGTTTCGGCAACTCCTTCCTTGGCGCTACCTGGAACAGGCATCACATCGACAACGTCCAGATTACATTCAAGGAACCCTTCGGCACCGAGGGCCGTGGTGGCTACTTCGACGAGTTCGGCATCATCCGCGATGTCATGCAGAACCATCTGTTGCAGGTCCTTACGTTGCTTGCCATGGAACGCCCCATCTCTTTCTCCGCTGAAGATATCCGTGATGAGAAGGTGCGGGTCCTCCGCGCCATTCCGGCAATCGAGCCCAAGAATGTCATCATTGGCCAGTACGGCAAGTCGCTTGACGGAAGCAAGCCTGCTTACAAGGAAGACGACACGGTTCCCAAGGATTCCCGCTGCCCCACTTTCTGTGCGCTAGTTGCGTACATCAAGAACGAGCGTTGGGATGGTGTACCTTTCATCATGAAGGCAGGCAAGGCCTTGAACGAGCAGAAGACCGAGATCCGCGTGCAGTTCAAGGACGTCACATCGGGCATTTTCAAGGACATTCCTCGCAACGAACTCGTTATGCGCATTCAGCCCAACGAAAGTGTCTACATCAAGATGAACTCTAAGCTTCCCGGCCTGAGCATGCAGACTGTTGTCACCGAGCTTGACCTCACCTACAGGAGACGCTTCTCCGACCTCAAGATTCCCGAAGCCTACGAGTCCCTTATTCTCGACTGCTTGAAGGGTGACCATTCCAACTTTGTCCGTGACGATGAGCTCGATGCCAGCTGGAGAATCTTTACCCCTTTGCTCCACTATCTCGATGATAATAAGGAAATCATCCCGATGGAGTATCCTTATGGTATGTAATCACCGAGATGTTCTATGGAATGATACTCAATACTAACATCGTCTAGGTTCTCGCGGGCCGGCTGTTTTGGATGACTTTACGGCCTCGTACGGGTACAAATTCAGCGATGCTGCGGGCTACCAGTGGCCCACAACCTCCGCCATGGGGTCGGGCATGAAGTTGTAGATTCGCAACGTTCTCACTATCGTCCCGTCGCCCCGGATGATGGATATGCTTTAGTACACGCGGTCTAATCTGCGTCATGAGTTGACAAAGGAAGGAGCTGTATCACGTCATGAGCAGACACGTTGGGACTAGATCTTGCTTCCATTTCCCTTGGGGTTTTTGTGCGTTTTCTTGTTATGTGATGCTAGGAAAAGCATCAAAGGTAGATTCATGAGATTCAAAAGAGGCATGTATGGGTTTATAGGTAACAGCGGGCATGGCTGTTGTTATGTCCTTCACGATCCGGAAAGAATAATTTCATGATGAGGTTTCTTTCGTATGGGTGTTGGGGATACAGGTAGTGACTTGGCACTCTTGTGCCTGGGGAAGGGCGAAGACGTAAAGGTATATCTTGATCATACTGGGGCCAAATCTGAGCAGCCAACTGGTTAGAGAAAGCTTTATACCTTAACAGCAAGTTCTTTCAGACTGAGCGTTGCGCACAGTGCACTTTACGGTAATCATTGCTCTCTACCCTGAGTACGAATATCAGTCCTACCTACATGTACGATACCATAATCTGATGTATCGAATTGCCAGGCAGGCAAAGCCTGGGCTCTTGTACTGTGTAACGCCACTGGCAGATACGACATGTACCAGTCTGAAGCGTAATTACATGCCGCCATATTCACCGTACAATACATAGAGTCTATCGCAACATACCGTGACATCGTAAGGTAACTACCTATGTTTCTTGGCAGAGGCACGACAAGTCTTTTCCAGTGATACCTCGAAGTATGAGTTGAAATATCGAGTATGTGTAATTTAAAATGGAAAACTATATAAAAATAGTAAACTACGAGTATCCAAACAACTGAGCGTCTGCGTGCGAAGTTGGATACAACAAAATTTCGAAACTTCAATGGGCGCGGTCAGCCTTTGGGCTGTCTTCTCTTTTGTTGGTTGAAAGATCCACAGCGGTACGTACCTACCTACCTAGGCACTTGGTAGGTACCTGATTGCTGGCTGGCTGCGCATTGGGTACTCCACCGGGCGAGAAGTGACGCCAGCCTCACTGGAGCAGGGCATTTCACCTACCACCATGAGGTGGATGGCCTGGGTCTTCCTCCTGGGGGCGCCCACCCGTCGCGGACTGCCCGACAGGGAGGACATTTGTCACTGGTAACCTGCCTCGCCTGCCAAACAGCCCGAGGCGGCACATCCACGACGAACCTTTCAAAGGCACCAGAGAAGTGATCCACGCGCACGCGCATTTCGACTTCCACTTGATCACCTGTCGCTTTTTCCTTGACCTCCGTTTCTAGCGTAAAATTCGACTTCTTTGACCGACTGGGGCAGGCGTCCCATTCCCTAGTAGGCTTCTCACCTACCGCCTTCTTCACTCTACGAACCAGCGCGTGTTGTGTTTTCGATCGACTTCCACTTTTGCGCACCTCCACTGCCGGGCAAATCTGAAACCCGCTGGCGACTCTTACTTTGACATCAACTACGATCCGACACAGCGCCCTACTTTCGCCCACCAATGCAACTTTTTCAATCCGCTCGCCACACGAAGTGATGGGAAACTGTGCTGTCTGCGCCAATCTCAACGTTTGAGCTGCCGTTTGATGCGCGCTCCCCGGGGTCTCCTTGACGAAGAAATTCCCCAGTTGATATTCTTACCATTCGCCTTCTTTCGCCTTCGCTACAACTTCGAAATCATCAACACTTACATGGGAACGACTGTCACACGATCGACGATTGATCGACATTCCACGAAAAGCTTCCGAGTTCCTGTTGCATTTGCCGAAGCTGTTTCGTTAACGACCGATTCCCGTCTTTACGTCCACAGTTCTAGGGATTATTTCACCAACGCACGACATTGGGGACGCTCCTTGGGCGAGGGTTGTTCGCGCGGCAGTAGGGCACGCGCAGGATGGAAAACGGACATATGAACGGAGTGCGCACCCATCACGACAGAAACTCGTGGACGAACGGCGTCAATGGAGGCGTGGCTAAGCGGGAGGGCTCGCCAGATAAGGGCAAAGCTCACGCAAACATGTCGGGCTCCTCAGTCATGATGAACGGCGGAGGTGCCTCCTTCATGGATGTGGACAGCCAACCGCCTGGCGGCTCTAAATTCAACGATCTGCCTGACGAGATCCAACACATCACCGCGGATATTATGCCTCTAAGCCTACTCCTTACCAGATTGTCGCAGTGGACTCACACGAAGTTGCAAGACGAGATCGCATATCTTGCGTCCAAACCACTGCCACAAGGCGTCCTGAATGGCACGACCAATCACCAATCCGCGGACAGCCACGACACATCGCAGGAAAGCCTCGAAAAGAAGGTCCACTTACTCAACTTCCTTCAGGATATGCATTCAAAATGGGTCAAGACCCTTGTTATCACCGAATGGAGCAAAAAGGCAGCTCAGGTCGGAGCCCTGATTGACATCAGGGTACATTTGTTGACCAAACAGGCCCACTACCAGGAACTCTTCTGGGAGTTGATCAGGATGAAGCAGGATCTTCACTGGGCGAAAGTGCCGGGCCCAGATTTGAAGACGGCCCTGGAAGTCCTGACAACTGGTCAAGCGTCCTGGATGCCCGAGGTAAGTTGATGGCCCAGATCATGCTCTGTAGTTTGATGTTCTGACAATGTTAGTTGGGATACATCGAGCCCCCTCCTATAACGTGGGAGGAGAAAGAGGCGTTTATCGACAACATCAATACCATGCTCAGCGTACGACTCACCTTCGACGAACACGAAAAGCTACCGGCCGCTTTTCGGGACTACAACATCGCGAACGGAAGGGTCACGTTCAAAGTGAAGGGAGAGTTTGAAGTCGACCTGACGATCGGAGATGAGGACTTCGAGCAGCAATTTTGGTTCATCGACTTCCGTTTTCTTTTCACCCCTGCTCCGGCAGAGCTGTCGCATGGTGTGCGCACATTCCTCGAGAACAAAGTCAATACAATCCTGGGCGATCAGGGCTTGGCTGGGTGCTATAATTATCTTCATGAATTCGTGTTAACTCAGAAGATTATTGAGTTCCGTCGCCAGGCAACGGAACTCGCCATGGGCAGGTGGGTCGATACCCTGAAGGTCGAGAAACTCAACCGTGCCATGTCTATACAGTACTGGCTCAAGCCTCCGCATGGTCTGGAGGGTCCTTCTTCGCAAACTGCCAAGAGCTGGGTTTTGCTAGGGGTATGGAGCGGAAAGGGCGTTGAAGGAGACCTTGATTCAAAGCCTTCAAGTTACATCAGCCTTCGTTGGTTTCGCGACAACAAGGAAGTCAAAGATTTCGACATACCGCTAAATGTTGAGACTATTTCTGCGGAAAAGCTTCTGACGGCGGTTATTGCAAGTCACGTCGAATACATACTCACATCCATATCCAGCAAGCTCCTCAGCAAACCTCGGTTTGCACAGAAGCATGCAAGACTTGACTTGGAGATTTCGAAGGAGGAGCCGCAGAATTCTTCTTTGGCCGTACAATTATTCGACAATGACAAGGCTGTCATCAAGATTGAACCATTGACGGGCTTCTTTACAATGTTCCCGCGGTCCCCGGTCTTCTTGAAGGGACAAATGAAGCTGGATACCAGTTCCAATGTGGCGGAAGAAGGCGCAAACCTTATGGAGCAACTAAGATTTGACCATACTGTCAAAGATCTCAACAGCCGTGTAAGGAGTATAGGCTGGTTTGTTTGCCGTCCGCCAATTACTCAGGAAGAGACGAAGGCTATCGTCTACTCGGATGCTTCAGGATCTCGGGAAGCTTTCAAGGCAGTTTGGCTCCGGAAGGCAAACTGGATGACACGACAATGGTTTGTCATGATAAGCATGAGTCTTGGTGGTGACCAGTGGTGGCTAGTTGACCTGTAAGTCTAACCCTCGTCAGATAAGCTCAATGATTGATGATGGACTAACCCTGAATAGTTCACCACCAAAACCTAACTTCCCCGCCGGCCGCCTGAGGCTATTCACCAAAATGCCCATGACCTCCAACCAACTAACGTTGTCCGACACCTTCTTCCGAAATTTGTCCGTCTACGCTGCTGGCATGATTTCACACATCACCGATCTTCGCAAACTACACACTCTTAAAAAATCACACACCGCACTCGAGCTGCCGAACCACAGCCTACCGCCCCAGGTTAGGCTGCCTACGATTTATGTGCGGTTGTCGGAAATGCTTCAACAACGTCCTGGATCCAGTAGCCGTACCTTGACATGGGCAAAGGATTTCGTACCTATCATCTTCAAGGGAGTCCGGAGTCACACAGGTGACCAAGAGGGCCCAGCAGATGCCACGGCCTCTCAGGTCCGGCGTGATACGCCAGCTAGAATCCGAGCAGAGGCTAGATTAACCGTGATTGACAGGACCAAGTTCAAGTCTCTCCGCGGAAATGTAGACCACGATGTGGTGTACAACCATCGTACCGGCCAGTTCTCGCTTAAGTTGCGGGCGGATATGGGTACCCCCGTAGTCGATTTACTCGCCGATCGCGTACAGGCCCTGGAACGCTTGATGGAGTTCGTTGAAGCCATAAGACTGGCTGGTAGCAACGCCATTCCTCAGAGTGTTGCGCTCCGCGAGGTTGTTTTTACCTACAGCAATGACCCGGCAGAACCTGTTGTTGGTCCTCCACAAGGTCCTCGTGCATGGAACGTACACCTAGACCTTCCTAAAGATGCCAAGGTTGTCCTTACTCTCGAGAAGGGAAACCCTCATATCCGCGCGTTAGATATGTTGCAAGATATGGCACAGTCCACCAAGACCGAGCTCCTCCCGTCTTACCTACCGTTTTCTCTGCCGCTGTACAGAGTGTTGGACAGAATTGAGGACGAGTGGGAAAGCATTGCGGCGAAGAACGCAGGCAATGTAGCGATCGTGGTCAAAGCGGCGGAGTGGGTAACGGTTAGGTTCACACTCCCTGCTCCGACTGCTCGGCGACTGCTGTGTCTTGATATCAAGACCATGGGTCGCAAAGGTAGATTGTTGTGGCACGTCAAGCGCACTGATGAAAAGGGGCACGAACGATCTCTTAACGCTCCGCAGGACGAGTTTGACACACTTCTCCAGCGGTCGGTATGGCACGCCCATGGCGACGGAAGGAAGACCTTCGGTACCAGCGCCGCTGCTGACCCAAAGGTTGGCATTGAAACACTGTTATGGTCTATCAGCGAATCGGTCAAGTCGCTGGTCGGTACACTTCCCCCACCGCCCGGCACCAGCCCGCATCCAGGAGGTGG